AGGCTTCATTTCACACGGTTTCATTTAACCATCAGCTGAGGCATTTGAGGGCAGAAGTCGTCAAGCAGCGATATTTCCCGCGGTGATCAACTTGTTATAAACGGGCAATAACAAACGCGATATTATATTTCAAGTATCATATACCAGCTACAAACGGACTCCGAGAGCTCTTAATGTTGCGTCCACTATAAAAGCCTGAGGGAAATTAATCCGTGAATGAATCTTGACCTTAACATCCAACTTTGATTACAGTGATCTTGAGCAGGACACGCCGTGTAATCTTTACCTAAATCCTGAACACAGGCACAAATCATATTTCTCCTTGGGTGTCGCTACATGGTCACAGTGAAATGATATTTTTGGAAAATTTATGAGGAGGACGTAACAAGCATTCGCGGGACAGAAAACGAAGGAAAACATTGAATACAAGCGCTTCAAAATGGTGTTTAGTACCTTCATTATACTTGGTGTGCTGTGGGTTGGAAGGGCCGATTCAAACGGTGAGTATTGAACCAGTATCCATGTATGCCGTTATTTCCATCAAAATACATCTGGTCTCTAATTTCTTTGAGCTCTTTTTTGCTCGCTGCTAACCTTTTCTTGTACTGGTATCAAAATTTAGGAAGTCTTTATATTTATAAGTCTGTGATCTAGTGGAACTGTTACACTAAAGTCGCATCGTTATTTCTCTCATGTTGAATCGACACTCATCACGTTTCTTTTCTAAGTAAAACTTCCTAAGAGCCATTTTCAAGAGCACACGTTAACCTTCCTTTAGAGTTAGGCTGCAACACTTTGTATATGAAACTCACAAACAGCTGAATTCAGTTTCTCTTCTAAAGAAACGCTGCAAAACGTGGGTAAATCATTTGTCGGCTAAACTTTTGAAGTGATGATTTAACATACTCGCAGCATTATAAGATCAGAATGCCTTTCCAGGAGAATTAATTAACGTCCAACTAGCTGTAATTATGGCAAGAGTTTATGCTCTGGTATGCTCTTATCTCTCTCTACTGGTATTGGATGAGTCATTTATAGAAAGATTTGTCCCTTTTGAATATATTAAAAACAGCTACTACAGTAATGTTAAACCAATCATAATTATATTATAGAGACATAAATCGGGTTGTATTCAGCCAAGATCATATATTTATAACATGCTCATGTTTCTTGATCATACATCCTCTGATCAAAACTGTCACTCAGGAATTTCAGGCGATTTATTGATCTTGCTGTTTTTGCGTTTCATCAAAAACTTCCCATTATCAGGCTGTGTTTATCGTGGGTCCTAAGTCTATCATCTCTGTTTACCATTCCTTTCAAATTGTTTCCATTGTTTCCCAGTTGTTTCAAAGTTTTGCTTTCTAAACAAACAACAGTTATGCGAGTAAGATGTGCTTGTCATTTTGTAAACTAGTCAGTGGACGATCGAGGCACTTTTACGATAATTTTATATTCAAGTTATTTCTTTTTCGTCTTTTTCTCGTGTCGGCAAAAATCCTCGATGACGGAAAGTTGTCATTCAACTTAGTGTGTTGAACAGTCCTTTTTTTGTTGTTGCTGTGATGTTTCTTTTTCAGCATTTCTAAAAATAAGAGTCCCACTTTTCAGTCCCCTTTGGGCGATTGGTTAATGAAGAAAGAAAGGTCAAAAGCTGAAAATGTGCTGTGCCGACTGTTGATTTGAGAAAAAAAAAACAAAGAAACAAAATAACACAGTTTGCACAAAACGACCTTGGGTGAGGGCACTGATTATTTAGAAGACTCCTTTCTAAACAAGTAATCCGACTGCTTATATACGAAAGCTTGAAAACTACTGTCTCGAACCGACAAGGCTGGCCTATTCTTTACAAATGCTACCAAAGTATGGACATCTGTTCTATTGGCCTGAAAGATCCAAACCTAAACTCCAAAAGTGCTTACACCCCATGAAACCCTCTCTAAACCACTCTTACTGTCCGAGTGCGGAGCAGTGTCCGACTGACTGATTGGTCTGATCGTCCTGATGACCAATAAGTATTTCATTTGCGCAATGAATTAGTTGAACCTGATGGTATAGAGCAATTCTTCTTATGTTAGACATATCTTCTATTTACAAAAGAAAAATTTCATTACAGAGGAAAGCAGGCCTGGGTACCCCGTTAGTATTTCGTTCACTTGAACTGTTGAATTTATAAACGTATGTCCAGTCGTGTTCATTGAATTAAAGCCACCCCCCGGGCTCTAAACCTTGTCAATGGACACTAGCTGAACGATGAAATAGATCTGTTTTGGCTATATGTTGTCAAGTTTGAGGTTTCCGGCTAAATGAATGAAATAATTTGTCGCAGTGATAATTTGGCAGAAGACCCAAGTGTGTAATCAATTTCCGGTCACTTGGCAATCTCACGCCTTGCAATTCACAGATATACAATGAAACCTAAAGAATCAGTGACAATACACAGATCTTACCTTCTTTGAAAATTCTACGTTCATAAGAAAATGTGAATTAAAGCCCCAGTTTGTTCAGCCAAAAAGAGAGTAAACTGAAATTAACTGTTTCAAACCCATGAGCATTTATTATGGCATTTTAAAGTTTGCCTGAGTTTGTAAAGCTTATAGGTGGCGCGCACAGCTTATTCCAGGACACATAATCCACTTTTAGCTTTTAAAGCATGCAAGTACCGAAAGTGCAAAATGGATATAACAAACTCGAATTAAAGCTCTTTTTCCCTGTAACAATGACATAAAATATAGGGCGTAATATTGGAGTTCTTGTTTTGCCATCTTAAACTCATATTCGCGAAAGCCAAAACGAAGGAGGAAGTCCTTTGCTGTATACAGCCATTGCGAGAGAGGTCGTCGGAAAAATGTGCACGCGTCAATACCGAAAGGTAATATGGGATATGATCAAATAAACTGTGCCTGACAGTTGTAGCTCTCGAACCTACTTTTGTTGCTTTCCTTTAGCACTCGCAAACATACGTCCATGGCCTCTCGTGCCATTCTTCCAAATTTCTTCGAAGAACAGTTAACTCAAAACCACCTACAATTAAAGCTTTCGGGATTGTCGCGTGCACGTTTTCCGACAACCTTTCTCGAAATAGCTGTAAATTCAGTGACTGATGGAAAGCTGATTAGGGAATTATACTGAACCAAATACGACGCTGCTTTAAGCAGTGTCGTGACAGAGAAGTTGATTGTCGCGTGCCTTTTAGTAGGTATGGGCCATTATTGGTGACTTCAGTGTCTCAACTTATAATCCACATGTACAGTCCATATCATAATCGACTAATGCAACCGTCTGCTATCAGAGAATATCCGACCCAAATCGCATATCCTACACATATCGCTTCGCCGCTCAGTTGTGCACTTCTCCCGATAAGACCGCCATGCTGCACAGGTTAGGCACACCAAGTAAATCCCACCAGATTCAATGTGGGTTCGTTTGTTCGGTGATTTCCTCCTAACTTCTAGCCTGCAAATACAGGGTACAGCCGTTTCGCGAGAAGCAAGGAGTAAGGAGAAACGACTGTATTCGCAGGCTACAGCAGGCAGGCAGGCAGCTACATTCACATCGCAATACGTTTTTGGGTACTAACGAACAGCACATTTTCCCTTTTCGTGACGCCGAGGCTCTTTTCACCAAACTGTTTTTAAAAACCTCCAAGAAGCAGTCCAAAGTGGGATTTATTTTGGTTAACAGTGTGGACCTTGCGTGATTTCGAACCTTTTTAAAGACAATATGGGTCTTATTTTCATTAAAATGCTCTAGTTTTCACTCAAAACAGCTGCAAGCCACACTTGTACATAGACCGTCCTGATTCGGCTAGCATGACATAAACAGAAAACTATGCTTTACAAAATACGGTGTCGGTGCAGGAGATGACTATAGGAGAATAGCACCGAGCTACAGTGCACAAACGATAACCTTTAGAACTGTATAACTCATCAAAGCCAACGTCGGAGGTTTTAGAAACTTTCTCTTAAACTATATAGGCCAGTTTTTCATCGCTGTTACGTCTTTCTCGTTATAATTAGATTATTGTCCGATTCATTTTACTCTCTATACGTTGTTATCGCCTCGTTAGCAATATTTTGCTGTTTGTTAAAATACGTTTTTCGGTTCCCTTCGAGCATTTGGAGCAGATAAGACTAATTTTTTCAATATTGGGTTTTATAATTTGTCTTAATCTTTTCAATGTAATCTCGTCTCTGCGCCTTTTTAGCATTTAACTTTACATCAGTAAGTAATTATTTCTTTGTTATTACTTCAATCTGTACGATACTGAGTTGAAGAGAATGAAGGCACAAATCTTCAAGAAATAAACAAACAGAGAAATTCCATTTTTCTAATTCTCCTCTATTCCCTTCGCGAGGGTTGCTTTACCTCTTCTGTAAACCCTTTTTAGGTGTAAAAATATTGCCAGGTTTTGTTCTGGTATGAATATGGGACTGCATGGACTTTTCGCAGAAGCACGCAAGATCGTTTAATTTAGAAAACGCTGTAACATACACGTAAAAATATCCTGTCCTGATTTAATTCAGCTTTCTCTCTTTTCTTTCGTTTGCATTTCCTTTCTTTTCTTTTCAAAATAGCATTTCAGGATGTCTTATTCCCTGAAAATCACGAGGACATGATTTCTTGTTGACGATTGGTCAGCCCCTCCTCGTTCTTATGTGGTTTAAGGATGGTTTCCATGGTTAACATTTGCTTAGGGCAATATTGAACAAAACCTACAATCGATGTGAACGTTTTAAATTTTGGCAATAAACTCATTTTCACACTATGGATATATATACGCTGTGGTAACTTTTGTGTTACGAATCGTGCGCAAGAACAACTTTCCATTTGTGACATTTTTCATTGTCACATGAAGATAAATAACTACATTTTAAGAAGAAGTAAGTCTTTATTTAGCCTGCATAGTACGCGTCTAACTTTCGCGGGTTAGAAACGAAAGGTCGGCTGCATTCAATATTATTACCATCTTCTGTAATTCTGACAACTAATTTTTTTAAACAAATGTTTTCCTTTCAGCGCTTGATCCACCCAGTTATCTTGTTGGGTATGTAACTGGTGATACGTCTATCAAACTCTCCTGGGAAGTTAAATCTTCTTCAAACAATACAGTGTTTGAGCTAAGGTGGAAAATAGGCGACAACGAATCGTCTATGTTGCTTCCCGGTTCAACTGGAACTATCACACTAAAGAATCTCCGAGTTTACACTCAGTATCTCTTTCGAGTAAGAAAAGGTACTGTGGATGGCACTTGGGGTGCATTTACAAAGTACACAAGTATCTGGACCCCGGAGGGAGGTAAGAATATGAACGGTTATGACAAAAAAAAGCGTTAATTGGTCTATTCTCAGACCTTCTATTTTTTCTTTAAAGATCGTTCGGCGCAGGTATGAACCGCGTGAGATTGATTACCTGCCAGCGCAAAGGGGTTAAGTGGGTAAATGCCACTCTCGTTCTCGCGTGTTCAAATACCCGGAAACAGGTAAATAAATAAAGAAAAGAAGAACACGTCTATGGACAGGCTAAGTGTTAACAAGACAAATCATTATTCTTTAGAAAAGGGAAAAAGCCCAAAAATATTAAATCGTAGGCATGTGCACCTCATCTCATATGTGCAAATATGGAGGCCATATAGGAAGGGTTACGCCTGCAATGAATGATCAGATTTCTGGCATGCTCCGAATATGTCTCATTATCAGCCTCAGGTCAAAAGTGTACCACTTTTCCTTTAAACTGCTTGGATTAAAAAGGGATTGGATTGGATTAAAAGGATCTATGTTTTGTTAAAGGGATAAAACTATCAAATAATTTGCTTTGTCGTCAAAAGAAAGTTTAATTTTATGAGTGTGCAAAGTTTGTCTCACCAGGAAAAGACGCTACGACTATGAATTAAGCGTCAAACTTTTCAGTCTTCGCCCGTAATTTTAACAGTCTCATTTCTCCAAACTTCATTCAATTTCATATGCCATTTTTATTATTGGAATGTTGCAAAATTTGATTTAGAAACATCTTAGTTAAGTACAGTAAAAACCCGCGTATAAGAACCTAACATTTAAGAACCTGTTAGGCTAAAATTTCATTTTTAAGCACCCTTCACATAAGAACCATTTTAGGCTAAAATCCTAAAACAGGTTCTTATTTTCAAAAAAAATAAAACTTTACCATAGGTTTGACTGTAACAGAATCAGATTAAAATAGTATAGTATTTTGCTTAACGAAGCCTCCAAGAATACTGTTTTTGGACATTAAACACCAGATCATTTAAAAATTCAGCTTTATTTCCTGAACAAAAGTTAAGAACCTAGTTAGCCTAATTTTACACTAAATACCATTTATATAAGAACCTGTTTAGGCTAACTTGGAAAAACCTAGGTTCTTACACGTGGGTTTTTACTGTACCTATTGAGGCACAAGGAGAAAGTAAAATTACGCATGTTTTACTTAATATTAAAATATGAACTGAACTAATCGCTATCTATTTTGTAATAGTACCCACAGCCCCGCCAGACAATGTGACAGCATACAACACCAGTTCCTTCAGCATTATGGTGTTTTGGTCGCAAGTTCCCAGTCCCTACCGTAACGGCCTGGTGGTTGGTTACAAAGTCTGCTATAAACGTGCCGATATCATTGAGAGTGTGTTGTACTGCATAGCTGTTTATGCCCTGGGGATGGAAATTGGGGGATTGAAAACATATACACCTTACTGGATCACAGTCCTGGCTTACACTACCAAGGGCGAAGGTCCAACGAGTAAACCTCTATTGGTGTGGACCGATGAGCACGGTGAGTGAAATTGTCATAAAATTTTTGTCAACAAAGTTTTTAGATTCAAAACTTAGCCGAGGCAAGACAACGAGCAGTTGTCCCAACTCTTCGACGGGCTAAATTTATCGCGAATCTTGCCCACGTTAACAATGGTGGCTGTCGAATTATGTTTTAAACGAAGTTAATGGAAATTAACAAAAAATCTCTGGTGAACAATTAAGAAAATCAAAGGAAAGCTCTAAGAAGTCTACAAGGAGTGTCTCCAGAAGTAAAAAGTAACCTTACTTCCTACTGGCTGAGGCCAGACAAACAGGCTGACTTACTGACTGACTACTGACAGAGTGACTGACTGACCTACTGACAGACTGACTGACTGACCTACTGACTGGCTGACAGACAGACTGACTTGTGACTGACAGACAGACTGACTGATTGACTGACTGACTGACTGGTGACTTACTAACAGACTGACTGACTCACTGACTGAATAACTGACCGACTAACTGACGGACGGACAGACTGACCAACTGACTGACTGAGGGATGAACCTTTTGTTTCTGATACTAAGAAGTGATGGTGCATTTCAGTTTCCGATTTTCTTTGTCTTTCAGTTCCGTCAGCAGCGCCGAAATTATTGTCTTTTTCATCCAACATCACTGCAATCAAATTTTCTTGGGCCCCAATACCTCAAAAGCACGTTAACGGAATCTTGCGTGGTTACTACGTCATCTACTGGCAGTGGCCGCGGTCGTCTCCTGACAATCTTGTGATTCAAGTGAACCAGTCAACTCTCAGCGTGGTCATTACAGGTCTCCAGGAAAACACCACATATGGGATACGCCTGGCAGGGCTTACTAAAGTCAGGGGTCATATTAGGAATGGCGCTCTTAGCCATACTTATAATGTTACTACAAAGTATGGTAAGGAGAAATTATGTTGATATTTCTCGTCAATTTAATGTTGAACTTTTTTATCACTTTGTCAGAGTCACGTGCCTACTTTTTCTGCGAACATCAAATCGGCAGATAACATCTCTCTATCAACATTAAACAACAGCATTATACCTAACTGACTGGAAGGGGCGCTATTCCGGTAAAACTTAGGTCTTTGCTGGAAAATAGGGGCAGAACAAACATCGGTGATTGTTGTTTAAAATCTCTAATTTTGAAGTTTATGATTGGCGGTATTAAGATTACAACGGGGATAAACTTTTTTTTTGTTGAAATTATTTTAGTTGGAGAGTAAGCGATTTGTGTCTACAGAAAGAAAGTATTAGATCAAGTAGAGAATGGGGGAGAAATAATCAAACTAACCGCTGCTCGATTAGCTCAGTTGGGAGACCTCCGGTCTGCTAAGCGGTGGGTCGCGGGTTCAACCTCCGGTCGGACCAACACTCAGGTTCTTTACCGAAATAACTGAGAAGACAGTGCTACCTTTGTAATGGCATAAGCACACGGTAAGACTTTCTAGTCTTCTCGGATAAGGACAAAAAACCGTAGGTCTTGTTTCACAGCACTCTCACTTATCAGGTTCTAGTAGGATGGAAAAGAACCCACACCACTGTTCGAAAAGAGTAAGGGACGTAAACGCCGGTAGTGTGGCCAACCTTTCCTGGGCTGGGTGGGTTATCTGTAAGGAGATATCTGAATATAGGGATAACCTTATGTTCCTCCTTTAGATGTCGTAATGGCTACCTGTAAATAGTGTATGAACTTGTCGAACTACTATAATTGAATATTCATTGTTAGGTCTTAGTCACTGTAATGTACGGCTTAATAAGTCACTAGCTTTAAGCACTTGCAGTTACGAAAGGTTATTTGTTAAACCTCTTTATTTTTCTCTACAGTCTTAAAAGCTCCGCAGAACGTCAAAGTATTCAGTTCCTGTTCTACCTGCTTGAGAGTGAGCTGGGATCCAGTTTACATTCCTGATATTGACAATCCTGTAACAGGCTATCGCCTAATATACCGTGACACATCAGGGAAGGTGTACGCTAACGAACTTGGGCCTAAACAATCCACTGTTCATCTGACGGGTCTTGACAAGTTTTCTACATACACGATAACAGTGTCTGCTATGACTGAAGCAGGATCGGGGAGGACCAGTGAACCCATTACTATAGTCACGCTCGAGGACGGTTAGTTGCATCCTCATATACCATGACCCATAATACTAGAAAGAATGACATGGTCTTCCCAAATTATTCGTTATAGTTTTTGTCAGTTTGCTGTTTTGTCGGTTGGTTTTGTTTTTGTTTTGTTTTTTGTTTTTGTTTTTGTTTTTTGTTTTTTTATGTTTGCCATCTTTTTTGTTTATGCTTTTTCCCTAATCACTTGTCGCGATAAAAAATAAGGCTCTAGAGTTCAAGTAAGTAAAGGAAATAAAATGGAACAGTCAAATTAAAAAATATGTTAACAGGGTAAGAAACAGAGTTATGAAAGATGCACATAAATACTGACATGTGAGTGACTTGCGGGAGTGGGTAACCAGTGGTTCCCCCTGGGGAAGATGTCTAAGGAAAGAGCGCAGAAAATCAACACTGATGAGGTCTCACTACCCAGATCTAGGTGGTGCTTATGATTCGTTGAATCAAATTTCCCTCTCGGCACGACCAATGGGAGACACTACCCGGATCTCAGATATGAACAATAACGCGTCATCAGTATGGAAGTTCTGCGCTCCTTCCTCCGACGTAATTTCGCGGGAAACCAGTGATATCGTCTCAGAATGTCACATGTTTTCTCCGACTACTCCCGACAAAAATAACACTATATTGTTGGTCTTAGTCCCTAGCCGCGCCCCAGAATCAATCCAGGTGCAAAGCACTGGACCACGAAGTATCTTAATAGAGTGGAGCCCAGTCCCCCAGCAGTACGTGCACGGTATTCTACGAGGCTATCACGTTTACTACAAAACGGGAAAGCCCAAAGTTAAACGTTCGACAAGTCTTGTGGGGGTAATAAAGGCCATGTCTGTTAACAAGTCGAGTCAGAATTTGGAAATAACAGGCTTGGAACCCTTCACCAGCTATGATGTTTGGGTTGCTGCGTTCACTGAAGCGGGCAGCGGACCATCAAGTACTCCTGTCACCGTAGTTACCGATGAAGATGGTAAGTACCTCACGTGACTTTTCACATGAAAATAGGCCCTGGGGAAAATATTACAAAATTCTTTAAATTGTCGTTTGGATAGTGTTTTATGTAAACCTACTTTTGCATTATCTTTTCTACACAAATAGCTCTTGCGTCCGTTCGGCAAAAATTTGGATACTGCAGCCGGAGCCTATGGGTATTTGCTCCTCTACTCAGCTTGTTTGCGTCACGGTGCAAACTCAGTTGTGAGCACCTTTGTCTTTTTAATACATTCAGAAATGTGTCAACGAGAGAAGTGAGTTGGAAGGAATTCCTTTTAAAAGTTACGTGCCGTTGTAACAAAAGAGGACGGAATAATTACACGCTATAGATTTCTATCGGTGGTATTTTTGGAAATCGGTCATTGCATGTGCAGTGGGGCAAAGAAAGAGAGATGTAATGTGAACCTCAGGTTTACATGAGGCTCTATCCAACTGGCAATTTTGTAGGATCGGAAGAACGGAGTTTTGAACTCAGTTTGAACTTTTCCGACTTCAATGTGACTAACGCAGTAACCTGGAAAATGAACTTTTTTAAATCGACCATCATGCATCTGAAACTACTTTGTTTGTCTTCGTACTAGCACCAGCTCGACCTCCACGAATTCGTAACATCTCAGCTAAAACCTCTGAATCGGTGTTCATACGATGGGAGCCCATTCCACAGCGACATATAAAAGGAATACTGCAAGGCTATCAAGTGCATTACAGCGAAGAGAGCTCCCGCCTTCCCGTCTTAAAGAAGAAGATGATTACGGTAAATGCATCTGTCACACATTCAACATTGCACCACTTGAAGCCGATGACCAGGTATCGTGTTTGGATCGCAGGCTTTACGGCAAAAGGTGCTGGACCTTCTAGCGAGAAGGAGTTTGTCTCCACGCCCCCAGCCGGTATGTTTAGGAAAGTTGTAATTAATTAGGATATCAACTCTAACATATAATACCCTATACCGAGGCGGCAGAAGCTTTGCACCGGACACTGTAAGTTTCTTTTTCTTATTCTTCCTTATCATCTTCTTCTTTTCTTAGCGATAAATTGATTTTGAAGGTTTCAATTGGGGTGCTGCGGGAGTGGGGGGGGGGGGGGGGGGGGAAGGGGAACGACCCCCTTTTGAAAAAGACCCTGTTTAAAAAAAAAAAAAAAACCCACAACCACTAATAAAAATATTTAAAAACCCCCCAAAAAAACCAAAAAGAAAAATTATTTTATTTTATTTATACAAGTACCTTAAATACTCGCGACCTTTCTCCGTGGTGATAGTGTGACAACAAGGACGGGAAGATAGGAACGTGTTGCCCAGAACAGTCATCTGCGGTACCCGAAAAACACAAGCTCCATGTGGTTAGAAACCGGTTAGGGAGGAACGGAGCGTAGTTGCCCCCAACGGGTCTAAGGGGGTTTTCGTCATAGTGGGGGGGGGGGTGTGGGGGGGGGGGGGGGGGGGGGGGGGGGGGGGGGGGGGGCAAGGAGAGAAACAGCTCACATTGCATACAACTCTGACTTGAATAGATAAAAAAGATCCACAACACTTAGTAAAATATTGTATACACCTCCGAAAAATCACCAGCAGTAAATTTGATTACTTTAATTTCATAAAACCATTTCTTAATTACATTCCAGTTCCAAACAGCCCTCATAGAGTGAAGGTGTTTACAGTGACCCCAAGGAGCGTGCGCATAACATGGCGTAGTAATCCGGCAACTACTAACAGCGTGACGCGTTACATGGTAAAGTGGCTGCGTGTGGGTAATCCCGATGACTCCAACGTAGATGGTCATAAGATTGTGAATGCGGGCTCGCCATACCACAGAGAAGCCCAGGTTGGTGGACTGAAGCCTTTTAACAAGTATTCTTTCATGGTGCGGGAGGAAGTTGGACAGGATAACTGGAGCAAGTTTTCTAGTGCTGTGGATGTCATAATGCTAGAAGATGGTATGTTGAAGTTCCACAAAATTATGCGAACTGTTTCGCCACTTATACTAGGCTTTGATCGATTGTGATCGTAAAAGTAGCATACTATGAGCAGTGCTGGTATATTTCTAAAATTATGCAAATAATTATGCTAGTTCTTGTAAATTATGCTCATTTTAGCAGAAAATGCAGAAATTATGCTTCTTTTTTCTACTTTAAATTTGGTAAAGGTACCTCAATGACTATACAAAAAAAGCAAGTAAATGGCAAATACTTTAACTTTAATACATCTAGAAAGAGCATAATTCATCGTCTGACAAAAGGGTATAAACATTTTAAAAATTAACAACCAGCAGGCGGACGCCGTCTTGGGTAGCCGAGCAAGTTATGCGCATGCGTATTGAGTCTTGGGTGACTTCCTGTGAGACATAGGTCCCATGAATTTGACAATAAGCAAACAAAAAAAATTGATTTTGTTTCTTAAATTTGCCTGTAACACTGATCTCGTGCCCCCAAAAATGGTTGAAAGGTGAGACCAAAAAATAGTTATTTTTGAGAGCGCATTCGCATTTTGGTGCCAAGAATTTCAAAACCAGCATTTTGAATTGAGTTTTTACGTACACATTTACGCGCATTTTTGAGGAGACCACAGCAGTCCTTTGTTGCGTTTTAGAAAATTTGACTTCTTCTATACGTCATGTGTAATTTATTTGTGCTGTAGGATTACAGAAAATGTATGGAAGAACTCAAGTTTTCAAAAAAAGCAACAAAGGACTGCTATGCACTCCAAGATTTAGTGTGTAGTTTCTTTAAGTTTAATTGTTACATTATTCAAAGGGAAAGTGACAAATATATTCAATCAGCAAGAATTATTTGGCTTTGTATTCCTATACAAACTTTTAATTTTTCCACCATCTTGTCCTGATTACCCATCATGCCGCTACAATCGTGGTAAGTTCGAATTTTGTTTGATATGGTTCGATATAATGCTTGGGAGGTACATTTCAATTCAAAGTGGGCAGACGGCAAATTGTTGCTGCTCGAAATATGGTAACTGTTTGAGACGAAGCTGTGGTTTTGCCATTCAAAAGAACAAGGACACATAGCTGGCATTATTAACAAAATGAACTTTACAACCGTGACACAGCGTCTGTAAGCGTAAATTAAAGATGTGGCAGTCATTTTTCTCACCCCCTCGCCTTTTACAAGAGTCGAGTCCAATTTTTGGGATCGACGAGACAAAATTCAGGAGGTTTTGTCAATACTTGAAAACTGGTCTTACCTAAGTTTGTATGTATCCCTTTTAGCTCCCTCGCCTCCTCGTGAATTATCGGTCAAGCTTAAGGAAGGAACTCGTCTGATTCTGCAATGGAGGAAACCTGAAGAAACTAATGGAATTATCAAGAAATACGAAATTCATTTTACAGACGATGACGGCGCAACTAAAACCTACACTTCACACCCTGATCTAAAAAAAGAATATCTAACATATGAAGTTTCTCTTACTGATGTCCAGATGGAATACGAGATAAAGGTTTGGAAAAGATATATTATTATAATGAAAGGTCATGAAAAACGTTCAAAATCAAAGGCTTTCGTTGTTTTCTGTTAGAAAGGTTTTTTATATCGTTTGTCTCACGATAGTTCGCCCAATCAAAGGTATTTTTTTGCCAGTAAAATCAGGAATCCTAGGCATTGGAATCCGGAATTCCGCTAACCATTGTAAACCAGAACCCAAGTTCCACTGACAAGGAATCTGAAATTCACTCCAGTACCTGAAATCCGGAATCTACCGCTTGGATTCCAGACTCCAACAATGCCTTTGATCACCTTACATGATCTAACTGGCATCGAGATTTGCTCACCGAAGCTAACTTTGAAAATAAGACCGTAGGACAAAAAAAATTCAAAACGCCTAGAGTGGAAAGCAAAGTGAGAAAGGCCCTTTAATTACGCCTCACCAGCACCATTGCTGGTTTGAACATGACGTCACGACGACCATGTTGGTGGCCAAGAACAACCTCTGGGAACTAAACTCTATAGACCTATTCGGCTAACTCAATGTTGTACCCAATTCAAATCTCCCGGGGATAAGATTCTTTGTGTTTTGTATTTGCATTACAATGTAGCATTCACATTATGATATGGAAATTCCTGAAACAATACGTTTTATTCCCAAAGGGTTTGAATTGGGTACAACATTGAGTTAGCCGAATAGGTCTATTTTCATGAAAATTCTTCGACAAAAAATTCTATTGTATTGTCCCTCAACATGGCCGTCTTGCCTCGTGGTTGTAAACCAAGAACTGTTAGGTATATTACTTTACCCTTTACACCCAGGTACAAGCCCATAACTCGTTACCAGGACGAATGAGTGAGGAGATAACAGTGCAACACCAGCCCAATATTGAAACGTCTGAAGGTAACAAACGTACATATAAAAGAGGATATGTTTTGTCCAGCATTAGTTCCTCTAAAGGGGGGAGGTACCCAACAAAGTTTTATGCTGGGAGGCGACGCCCCGAGGTCCATCCCCTTACCCTTTAATAAACCATTTTTGACAGAAAAGGTGACCCTTTTGTATACCTTTTATTAAACAATGGTAACCCTTTTACATACTTAAGTTTAGAACACTGAATTCCTTTTAACTAGGTGCTTTCGAAGACCGCAATGACAGATTTCCCTACCCTTTCATATACCAGAAGCGTGAAAAAGGTACCCCTTTCGGGCGGAGCCTTCCCGTATAAGTCATTATAAGAAGCAAGTACACCTCCTCCAGAACACTAGTCAACATTGACCAGAGTTAGGTGCCCTCATTACCGTCAAATCGTACCTTGTTAGGGTGTCTTTGGAGGCAAAACAACGAGCTCTTTTTGGTGTGACTACAGTATCAAAAAAATAACTGTAATGTATAATCTATAATGGTCTGCGACAGTCTGTGACGCGGCCGGAAGCGGTATGTGTCGCCGATATTCAGACGATTCCAGGCACTACAGGCAAATGTAGGCACAATTATTTTAGTGTAAAAGGTATACCATGTATGTTAAACTCAATTTTGCGAACATCGCGTCTGGCATTATGTGGCGTGTATGACGTGAAGCATTTCATGGATTGTCAGTCGTGTTCCTGATCAAATAGAAACCACGCTTTAGAAGGAAAGGTTCGACTGTACTTTACATATGGCTGAAAATAACAAAATTTTTTACCGGATTGAAATAAACTTTTCAGCACACATCAAGAATTTGCGTAGTCCTCCTGTAGGTAAAAAGCTTCACTTAAAGTTCTGAACGAATAAGCACTAATCGATGTTTTCCTTTCACTTTCTTTGGACTCATTGAACCTCTATGCAGCTCAAAAACCTGATCCTTTTAAGTCTAATTTAATATGGATCGTGGCTGGTCTGGTGGGAGCGATTCTAATGCTGGTGATAATTGCTGCATTATTTCTCATCAGGTACGTATACCTTTTTCTCTTTTCTCTTTCCTTTTCTTTAATTTTAGTTTCTCTTCTTTTCTTGTCCTTTTTTTTCCCTCAAAACATTAAACACTGTTGCAGCCTGCCCCACTTAAGGATATCCAAGACAGTCTTGGATTCTGGATTCCAAGCCGTAGAATCCGGTTTGCAGGTACTGGATTCTAGTCTCTGTCAGTGGAACTTGAATTCTGGATTTCAATCGTTAGCGTGATTCCGGAATCTTGAGCTGCATTCCGGATTCCAAAGCCCAGGATTCTGGATTCCATAAGCAAAGTTTTCCCGGATTACGGATTCCAGAAGAAAAAATTTCCTGGATTCCAGAATCCACATTCCCTTACAAGGGGCAAAGACTGCAGAAGTTAATAGGTTTTGGCCTGAAATAAAAAACAAGAATAGAAAGACTGGAAATAAAAGGATAAGTTAAATTTTTAGGTCATTCCCAGATGTTGTTTAAAAACCTTGAGCGCCATACAGAGCACACAACGTACATGTGTTGACGCAAACACAATATGAAAATCAGGCATACGAAACACTCATGTTTGGATACCCCTGATTCAAACCAACGCAGATTCAAGCACAGGCATACTTCTATCAAACAGACATGGAAAAAAACGAGGCCGTAAACGTTAGAGATAGCGCTGCAAATAGTCGTATGCAACAACGCACATCGAAGAGCAAGTGCGTGTGAAAAAGCGTGTAAAAATTTGCGTTTGCGTTTGCGTTAACTCTTGCGTCTCAATGATAACAAACCTTAAATTGGAAGTTTTCAAGTTGTATGTTGAGATGTTCTGTTTGCTTTGTTTGTATGTTTATTTTTTTTTTATTAGTGCTGTTGTCGTTATTTTACAAACTAAAACAATCCTCAAAACGAAACTCATCTTTGTGAAACTGCGTTTTCTTGCAGGCAAAATTCAAAGAAGTCTAAAGAAAAACTTCATAAACGTAAGTAAATTTCCGTAATCTGCAGCTTGAGGCTCACTGAAAATCTATAGTGGTACAATCATAATACCAGCAAAACTGGCGGTGCGCTTTTATATTAAAGCGACTTTTCGGAAACAGCAAAATGTTTTGTTTGTTTGTTTTGTTGTTGTGCTTGTTTTTTTTGTTTTGTTTTTTTTTAAGTAACTTAAAGGTATTCAAATGAACTCGATATCCTTGAGCGGGCGCTTTCGTTAATTAATCCTGAATTAACTGCTGTATACTACAGAATTGCACTCTTTTACGCGCGTAATGCAATATCTAATTTATTATTCTCCGTTTACCCGGCAACTGAACGTTAACTAGATGCTGCTGCTGAGTTATTTTCAATTATGTTTTCACTTCTTTCAATCTCTATGAATTTTCTTTTCGTTTTATCAACCATTTCGAGAGAGAGTGAAACGCCGAACCACACGAGTGCATCTTTGCATCGAGTGCCTCAATCAGTTGACGAAATAATATATAACAGACGGAATCAATGCTCTTAAGCCTAGTATCAATGGAAACTGAGTACCTGCAAAAATATTTTCGATTGTTGATCACGCAAAGATCACCTCCACCCGTCTTTTATTTTTGCGTTGTCTTATATGGAATGGTTCTTAACCGAGATTGCTTGTAAAGGTCCCAAAAGATTAGTCTTGCACGTAGATTGTCTTATGTCCCGTCAGTCCTCACGATTGTGCAAAATTGGCTGGTATTATTTATAGGAAATATTAAACACTTAATGACTGGTCACGAGGGTAACTGTTAATTTTGTTTCCCAAGAATCTCAATGTTTTCCGAGGTGGAGCCGAGGGAAACAATGAGTTTCGACGGAAACAAAATTAACTGTTACCCAAGAGACCAGTCTTTAGAGTGCGACTGCTGTAACTGGGGCCATCGACAAAGTTGACCAGTCGGATTATTGGAAAATAACAATACATTCCAAGAAAGTTGGTTGTGGGCCAATCAGCAGCTCGTAAAAAAACACTAAGTTGCTCGAAGCACAAAATTTTATGTTGATAGCAAAAGTTTTCCAGGAAAGCAAACTGTTTCACCAGGCAAATTGTTTTTCTATTCGAAACTTTGCATACAACACCCACGAGACATATTTCTTTGACACGAGCAGTTATTTTGACCAGCAATTTCTTCGCTTCTATTACCGCGCTTTGCAATAACATGCGACCGCAAGTCAAAAATATAACTATCGTTGACGTTTTTCGCTTTCGTCACTCACTCTAACGAACCTCTCGGGAAACATGTGCTTTCTTTAGCAGGTTCAAAAAGTCATGTCTGTAGGTTGAAATTGGTTGATTTCAATCCATATTGATGTCGTTTATTTCGGGGGCCCGGCTCTAGTATTCGCTCTGTAAGTAATTTGTTATATAGCTGGAAATTTTGAAGCTGGAATTTCATTAAATCTCGCAGTAACGGCAATGCTGCCCTCTGACGTCATAGATTTTACAATGTTACTTTGCTCATGAGAATTTGGCGGGAAACAGTGTTATCGATGTTATGTAACCTTGAAGTAACCAATGAGAGCGCGCGCTTTTAGGAAAAAACTTCCAGCTTGATGACAATGCCCTTTTTACGAACGTGTAAATAATCTCGTATAACAAGGTTAAAGATGCATCTTTTGAAAACAATGAGCTTTTTCTTGCTTTACAGTGTCTCTCATTTCCACGAGCGCCCTTCCCAGTCGACCTATTCCAGTAAAAGAACTGCCCGAGCATTGTGCTCGTTACCATGCCAACAATAACGCTTTATTTAATGACGAGTTTAAGGTATGAAATCCTTATTTCTTAGAGTGTAGAGGGACTAGCTAGTTTATATTTTCTTAATTATTTCAATTATCCGTCCTTATTCGCTATAGAATTTGAGGAATTTCTTGCAAATTACAAAATCACAGCCTTATCTCCCAAGCATTGATACAAACAACAAAAATGAATCGTTTGAAAAAACCTAGAGGCTAACAAGTTATCAAACGCCACAATTGGAATCTGTTTCAATCTTCTTCAAAATTTTTCACCAGTAGCGCGTTGGATGATGGGAAGAGGGAATTAGACTCTCTTCTTCTCTTGTCCCTTCCCATCGTCCCCCGGGTTTTTTTTCCTCTTCCTAACCTCCCTGCGACTAAACGAAGGCTTTCATAAAAGGGAGAGGCGCCCACCAACTCATAGAAGAACGCACTTAATTTCCGCTTTACCTTTTTTTGTGACGTCGCTAAGACTGAAACAGGCTCCAAGACCGTCAAAAACACCCGGTTATCTTCGATTATAATCATTTAATAGTTTTCTACTGTGAAAGGTTTGAACACAGGAGTTATTTCTTAAGTAGGTTGAGTATGATTGTCCTGGTTAACGAAACGCACTTGAATTTCGAAACGCACCAATGACATTACTAGTTTCCGCAGTCAAGAACATCACAGCTTAACTGACAGACAACCAATAAAATCGCAACTTAATTAACTAATCAGAACAATAACCAGAGTTTAATACCATCAACTGACGTGATACAACTCACTTTGACTCTGAAGATGACTACCGCAAAGGTTGTCGAAACGTCAGTCACTGTCCACAACAACCCTATTCAGGACTATGTTCACCCAGACGATTATACCCAACCTACTTAGTTTTCTATACTGTTGTACATAGAAAAGCTACCACTCACATTTTTTGTTTCTGACCTTAGTGCCTTGATAAACTAACTTGGAAATCATCCTGGGAAGCGAGTCAAGAGGGCCACAACCGAGCCAAAAACCGATACTGTAATATTGTGGCGTGTATGTTCCAATGCTCCTTATTGTTGCAGTGTTTGTATTGTTGATTTGTAGTAATTTGTTCAATAAATTAATAGGCCATTTGCACGATGATGTCCTTTCACCACTAAGACCAGAATTCATTTCTTTTTTTTTTCTTTTTTTTTTCACATTCGAATTTGGAGGTTGTTTGCCATTTACATGGGCAAACCGGTAGGTCCACGGTTTGGGCAAATGGTAGGCAAAATTCAGGACTGGAAAATTTCCTCCCAATCAGTTCCATTACTGAAAAAGGACCGCGAAAGCCTGAAACTGGTATCAAAGACGGCTTTGGAGAAATGGATCACGAATTTCAGTTTGAAATATTCCGTCCAGAAAAACAGGACTACCTTTTCAGATGTTCCGTTTCTCCCGGGAATTTTCCGTCGGAACGACTCGAAAAGCCGTGTTCCATTTACTTTCCAGCCGGATTTTCTGGAAAACGTTTTGTAAATGGTAAACAACCGATAATTCCGGTGAGGAATAAAAAAACCAACGAAGGATTCAGTAGCCTCGCACCTCTTTAAAACCTCTTTTACTGATTTAATTTGAACTCCATGGGTCGCCAAGGATTCTTGTAGCAGAAATAAAGTCACGCCATCGTGCAATTGGCCTATATTACACAAGTTTCTACTCACATTTACGCACAGGAAGTTTCCACCAACATTTAATTAAGGTTTGCGTGGATTGTCGAGGGCAAACTTCAATTTTCTCATCAAAGACAGCAAATGATATGAAAGTATTGGTGAAGTTTTTTTCACTTTACGAAAGTTAATGACACAATCAAACCCCGCTTTACGGAGAACCGCTTTTAAGTCAGACACCTCATCGACGCGGACAGTTTGCTTTGCCTCTTGGGAAAAAAGCCTCTAGATTTTCTCCAAATTCAGCCTGCTTAATCAGACACCCAGCTAATATGGACACTTTCTATGGCCCCCTCAATATCCGTATTAAAGGAGTTTGACTTTATTGAAAACTGTTTTGCTTTCTTGGTGTTAGGCAGTATGCGCTATGCGCATGGAACTCCACTAGTAACTATCTACGCTAAACTGATAATCTGAAAATATGTCTTTTTTAATATGTAGATGATCACAGCCGTGTGATACTGAAATCTGTAAGAGATTCACCAGGATCAGACTACATCAATGCTAATTATGTGGATGTAAGTTAATCATTGAACCCGCATATTGACATCTTTTACAGTTATACCTCCACTGAAAACAAAGAAACCATAACTTATTCGAATAAACATAGAAGTTCATAAGTAAAAAACTACAAGAAAATTGCTTCTCTCTGCTTTGAAACTCCAAATTATTGGAAAAATCATTACGTTTATTATTATTATTATTATTATTATTATTATTATTATTATTATTATTATTATTACTACCAATAATCCTTTTACGGGAATGTTGACGCTTGTCAAAAGTGGCAGCAATGAATAATGGCAGTTACCAGATACTAACACTCTATCCGCCTAGATTAGCCCTGATATTTAAAATAAAGTTGATATTCTGGTACATTAGCATTCTCTTTCCACTTCTCAAAAGAAAGTTGGAATTTAAGGTTATTTATAACAGTTTTACGTCGACGTTTTTACAGTGATAATATTCCTGGTTTTCTGTAAAATCCTGTAAATATTTTTGAATTTCACTGTAGGGTTACAGCTCTCCAGTCAAGTATATTGCAACCCAAGGTAAAAGTTTTTTTTCTATTTTACCATTTGTAAGTTTTCGTCCAGTCTTTTAATTAACCTAGATGAATCTTCTTTTTTCTTTATAGGACCTTTGAAAAACACATTGAACGATTTCTGGCGAATGATTTGGGAGCAAAACGTTAAAACAATAGTCATGATTGGTATGCAAAACGAGGTATGTATGTTGCCTTTATTTGTTTTTAGTAGTACCATGCCTTTTTTTCTTCTTCTTTCTTTTTTTGACTGCGCAGCAGGATTAGCTCAGTTGGTACAGCGCTTGAATGCAGAGCTGGAGATCGCTAGTTCGATTCTCGGCGCCAGACCATCACTTGTGGTGTCTCGGGGTCTTAATAAAAATAACTGTGAAATGAAGGTACTGCCTTTGCCTCGCAAAGGACTAGACGCTTCGCGTGGCACGTATAACAGGCGACATAAAGTGGCGGTCCCGTCTCTAAAAGTGGGCGTAAAAATAGTGTCCTCAATTAGTACCTTAGTTCTTAATTCATTGACATTTAAAGAAAGTGCTTTTTTTGCCAAGTCCGTCATGTTTCAGGTTCACGTCTCACTTTTTTGGTTCTGTGACGACCCGTTAACTAGTGCATGTCCCAGACCCACCTCGAGCCACGACCCTGATCATTACCCCAATTCAAAGATTCCA